ATGAAAGGAAGAAAGTAGAAAAACCTAAGTTTCTTTCTTTTTATTTTAAAAACAAGATTGCAAAGTTTCTAAGGAAAGTGGCAGCAGCCATATTAAATAAACTAATCACTTGTGCATTAACTATTTAACTCTTTCTTGACCAAATGTGCCTGAAAATGTACTTTTAAAGAACTTAAAATTATATATTTCACTAAGTAACTTTCTTTAACAAATTACTTTGGGATTATTGGAAAACAATGTTTCTTCTACAAAAGTTCTTCCTTCTTCCCTATTCAGGGCAATTTCATCAAAGCAAGTCTTTGTTTCTGAAGAATTCAAAAGTTTTAGCTTATTAGTCAGCCAATGTGATCATAATTTCCATGTCATGAAGTCAGTTATTTAGGAACTATTACAGTGCACGATCCAAATTATAAATATTGAATAAAAATGCAGTTGAAAGAAGGAAATTATATTTACCCTGATTATCTAACTTTTCTTTCTCCCCATTCTGTGAGATGAACTAGGTACTCTCTTATATACCTTCAAGAATCTCACCCTTCCCCACTGGCCCTAACCCTTAATCTTACCAACCCTTCCATATGGTATAAGTTATTATTTTTACCTGAAATTGTCCTAGGACATTGCTTTCCATAAGGACTTTTAGAATGGCTTTTGTATATTTCTAAAAGAACATCTCTCCCATACTGTAATGTCTGCAAGTGGCGCAGATGGCTTTCAGCAGACTCCAGCACCTGCAACTTTATTAGATGGCAACATTATTAGGTCTAAATAGTTGAAAGCATGTAAGTGTAAAACAGATGAGTATCTCAACAGAGCCATGGAAAAGAGCAGACAAAAATTATGGCAAAATGTAGGGTCAGTGAATTTTGAAGACTGAACAATGAATATCTTTTGATATAAAGGGAAGACCAAAATAAAAGATTGAAAACAAAATGAGGAGCCCCTTCATGAACACTGAGAGAATATCAATGAAGTTTCACATAAGAGAAAATGGGGCAAAAATATTTTAAGGATTTATGAATAAAACTTTACCAAACTTGGTGAACACCACAACTTTCTAATGAAATTTCTAGAAATAGAAATAGAAAGAAAACTGATTCTAGAGATATAACAATAAAACTGTTTAATAGCCAACAATAAGGAGAAAAACCTTAAAATCAGAGAGAGAAAAAAAAATGATGGTTTCCATACAGCAAGATCATGATACAAGGTACCCTGACGTCTCCTCAGAAGCAAAGAGAACCAGAAGACAATGGAACAATATCTTTGAAAGTCTGAAAAAAAGTAAAATAAACACTCTTAATCCAGAAGAAATTTTCTCTAAAACACAAAGCAAAACATCTTTTTTTTTTTTGCAGTTTTGGCCAGGGCCGGGTTTAAACCCCACCCCCAGTATATGGGGCCAGCGCCCTACTTTTTGAGCCACAGACGCCGCCTAAAGCAAAACATCATTTTAAGAGAAAAATTGAATATCTCTTTTTTTTTTTGGACAGATCTGTACTTCAAGAAGCTCTACAAAAGTTCTTCAGCATGAAAGTTGGATACTAAATGGAGACTCAGGTGTGCAGGAAAGAAAGAGCACCAGAAATGGCAAACATGCAGGAAAATATTTTTTAGAATGTATTTTTTTCTCTCTGAATTTATTTAAATGATACATGCTTGTTACAAACACATGTCAAAATGATCTTATAGCTGTGTACACACACAAACAAATGGTGGGAGAACAGTACTATTTTGTTTCAGGCTTCTTTTATTTTGTGTGAAATAATATAATAGTAACTTCAAGTGCACTGGGATAAGTTAAACATGCATAATATGACCCCTACTGAAAAAATGCTATTGGTTAGAGCTGAAAAGTCATTAGAAAATTAAAATGTTACAACGCAAATTTTACTTTTCTAAAAGTTATTTGCCCCTACGTGGAAATCCTAAACCAAGGAACCTGAAATTCTTTGAGATCATCAGCTACTCACTGACCATCTTCTTCCTCCTATCTCCACATTTTTCCATCTTACAGCTCAAAAAATAACTAGTCTCTTGCACATACTTTCCCCTCCCTCTTCCCTCTTGGAAGTTACCTGAACTTACGTGGTGTCTGCCAAGTCTTACTTGCACACCTAAGAAGTGCACGATGGAATGGCAGGCATTCTGATTTATCCTGCTATAAATTTACCACCAGAACTCAGCACAGGTGAACAGGATTACTGATTTTCTCTAGCCCAAGCACTCTATCTTTTTCAGAAATTATTATTTCAGCTATTATTCTCTTTACGATTTTCTCCTTTCATATTCATACAAAATGTCCTTGATTTATTTCACTCAGTGAAGAGGAGTAATCCAAGATAATGGTTTTCCTTCCCACCATTAAATCTCTTGTCCTAACTGTACCCATAAACTCTGGTTTTCCTCTTGTTAAAATGAGTAACTGTCCTGCCTCTAAGAGGCCAGGCACTGCACTTTTGCAGTGGATCTCAAACAATTCTTATTTATGTAAAAACATCATTCCAAAAATAAGAGAAATTTTTTTCTTTATTATTTGTCAGAACGTTTGCATCAGCGTAATAGGATGCTATGTCTCAATATTATGGAAAAACCCTCCCTGGACCCCACATATCCCTCCATAGACTGCCCCAATTCTATGTCCTCTTCATGTAAGTTTTTCCTGATATGATCTGTTTTTCCCTCTGTGTTCGGTCACAACTCACTGTCTCCTGACAACAAAGCAGTTTCCCCCTGCTCTCCCTATACACGGAATCCACTATTTTTAAGATTACCATTGACCTCCAAGTTGCCACATCCAGTGGGCAATTTTCGGTTCTTATTTCATTTGATGTCAGCAAAATTTGAAGAGGATGGAATCTCTCCATTTTTAAAAATGTACATGCATCTGTTTTTCATCTGAATTCTCCTTTTCTCCCTGACCATGGCTGCTCAGACTCCTTTCTAGATTTTTTTTTCCCTACAGAAAATTTACTTCCAAATATAAATGTCAGCACCTGAAGAGTACTTAGTATATTTCTTTAAGGGGAAGCCCTTGTTAGTAACGTGAATCAGTGACGTGAAGAAGTCATTCTTCTGCACTTTCAACAAAAATAAGACCCTAATCAAAATAGTCTTATTTTACAGGCGGGGGGGGGGGTCTCAGAGTTCTTATCATTCCTATTTAAATATCAAGTTGTGCATTTTTAAACTGGATACAGAAAAAGTAGAGGAAAACTTCCATGTCCAAGAGGTTATACCCTTTTGAAATAGCCACAGATTATTAAAAATGGAATAATATCATGAAGATTTTTTATAGAAAACAAGTGGAACATTTGATATTTCAAATAGAATTATCTAAAAATGAGGGTGTATTGTGTGTGTCAGAATTTTTCTAGGTGCAATAAATGTGAATTTATGTGTGCTCTATGATTATGGAATAATAGGGGAAAAGCAGACGATTTCAAATGTCAGTAAAATAGGAAAGAAATCAAATCTTATCATTCATATTTTTACCATTAACACCAGGTAATTGCATTTATCTTTGTAAATGACTTTTATCGTGAAGCTTTTTCAAATGTTCACTTAATACAAAATTACTAATCAAGGTCTCTGATTTCTCATCAGTACTTTTGTGTCATGCTGCAAAGCCTTTGTTTTAATGGAAGGTTAATATCATTAGTGGAAGAGAATTTTCACCAGTACAAAAAGATGAAATGCTCAAATACGATTTTGTTTAATATCTAATGAGAGTAATATTTTTTGGCGTTAGAAGGTGGATGTGTCTCCATTCCCTGTCTGTTAACTCTGATGTGTGTTTTCATATTTCTAAATGGTTGCTAAGTTAGTTCCCCTCTGCTGTGACTCACCCTGTCCTGTCTGTTGCTATAATCAGGTCCCCTTTCAGCCTCCACAGAGGACATGTACCAGCATGTGTTACACAGGAGTCAGAAAGTGTCAGTCAGAGTAAGGGACTCTCCAGTGGGTGATCAAAGGCCAGAGCAAGGAAACCACCGGAGACAAGGAACAGAATGAATTGAGGAGAAATGGAAAATTGAATGGAGGAAAGGAAAGTAAGGGAAAAATGTGTTAAATTGTACATTTACATTTTATATTTACATTTACATTTACATTTTAAATGTTACAGGAAAAATACTGTGTTTCTTAACTAAATGATATAATTAATCCACTTAATATTATCAATGTATCTATTTATTTGTTTTAATTCACCAAACATCAAAACATACCAAAGACTGGAGACATCTGGGGGAAATATATTTAAGCTGCCTTTTCTTATCGTGGAATGAATGAGCAGAAAAGTCATGGAGCCTATAGAGATTTTCTTCAAGGGAGAATGAATGCTTCCTCCATTAAATAAAGAAAACAAATAAAAATAAATAAGATTTAAAGTGAAGTCTGAGAAAAATGAACGTGCATTTTTACCACATTCTGCAACCCACATCTATTCATGATTAATATTTGTATTAATTTCCTTTGGAGTTCTGATCCCTTAGTTGGCCCAGTATGTGAAATATTAGCATTAGAAAGAATCTATTCTGAATTTACACTGAGAAAATAATACTTGTTGTTTATGATTTTAGTCAAGTAAATAGTAATTAAAATTGGTGCTTTAGAATGTATGTAGGTTGTTAGGTCACATTTTCCTTAGTCATCGGGCAGATCCCAAATAGGAATAGTTCTAAGAGGAAGAGTGCTGGTCTGAAAGAAAGGCATACATTGGAGAAAATTAAGACCCAGTTACGAGAATGATTGAAATTGCCACCAAGCATAGTTCTGGAAGGATGGGGCTCTAACGGGATTAGAAAGCAGGTGAGCAGAGTGTCTGGGAGGGGCCCAAATAACTTCCTGCGATTCCGTGGCAGTCTTTTACACTGTATTTCCCAGCTTCAAAATGAAATGGAAATACAGATCTTATACATTGTGTCGCTACTGCATACTTAACAGAGTAGCACAACTAACCAAAAGGTGGGTAGGCATTTGCTACATTAAAAAGTAATCCAATGCTCGCTTCGGCAGCACCTACGCTAACGTTGGAAGGATCCAGAGAAGATTAGCACTGCCCCTGCGCAAGGGAGGCGCGCAAGTTCTTGAAGCATTCCATGTTTTTTAAATTAAAAAAAAAAAAGGTAATCTAATTGTGTAACCTAAAAAGCATTTCCATATGGCGCATAAATCCCTCAATAGTAAAACACTTTAGTAACCCACTGCAATTGTCACTACAATTTTTTTTTTGCCCCTAAATGAGGGACTTTATCAACGGCACTAAAAACAGAGTGAGAAAGAAACAGAACTTGGGGAGACAGGAGGGCGGCGCCTACACTGGTATCTCCTGGTTTATGTCACTGATGGTCACTTTCCGTGTGCAACGTCCTGCATTTTTCAAGCTGGACAGAAGACGTACTGAAGAACGAGATCAGCTAAGCAGTGTAGTTGTTAATTATGCTGGAAATCAGTAAGAGGAGGAAATTCATCGCCGCGGACTCAACACAAGCGCAGTGGAAATACGGGCGCCACGCCAAGGCCTTCAAGGGAGCACCGCGCTGACCGGGAGCGGCTCAGTCCTGCGCTCACACATCGGCCCTCTGGACAGCGCTTATTGTTTCCTTTAAGGGTTCCACGGTAGAATTGTTCTCGCCGAAACATATTTGTCACAGATTTGGTCCATATTGCTTGGAAATCACATTACGATTTTAAAAGCAAAAGAATCCTCCGAAATGCTACTGAGACGGTCATTTCTAATAAATTCATTCCAAAGAGAGCTCAAGCCTCGGAGACCTGACCTGTACAGACACAGAGCTTGGTGTAAACACTGCTAGGAGAAATGAATCTAGTTCTTGGTCGCAAAGAGTCTTTCTACTTTCGAAGTGACAGAAATTCAAGTCAATTGCTATTTTACTATGTTTTGGTAAATTCCACTGTTGGCATCTGCAAAGGGCTCTGAGGAGCGTAGAAGAGAGAATCTCCCCCATTCAGGGGGAGGGAGCGTGAAAAGCCACCACCAGTGCAAATAGTTTTCTACACAAACAGGTTTAATAAAAGTGCAGGCATGTGTGATATTATAATGATAAAATCAAGTATCACTTTGCCACTCAGGATGCCGTACCAGGGTGTGTAATGCCAAGGGTGCATTGGAAGGCTCCTGGCTCCTGTCTTCCCAGGCCGCTGTGCAGAGCACCCGCCATTCTGTCTGGGTAATCACATCAGGGTTGGTCAGACACCCCAGAGAGTTCACCATACCAAAGGTGCCAGACGAAGATAGGTTACATTATATAATATTAAACTAGTATAATATACTTAATCATATTAAACTAGTATTTTATTTATGATTTATTTTAGGGTGATGGTTCATAGACAGAGCTACATAACATAGTGACCCTAGTGACTCAGGAGATAGTTCCAAGAGGGTGGTTGGAAAGAGCATCTAGAATGAGGCAGAAACACGTCCTGAGCAGCTTCTGCTGTATGATCTGCATCTAAGGACAGAAATAGGAAGATCTGTGGGGGAAATAAGGCAACGTGTCAAACGCTTCTGAGATATCAAGATAAGGGTGGGAATGGCAGGGAAGAGGAGCTGGCCCTGGGATGCTCCGGAGCGTGCATGGTACAATTCTGTCATCGGGGTTTAAAATATCCCCATCAACCTATGCCCTTGGTTTTTCCTTCCTACTAGACATGAGTCTGTAGAGGGCAGAGACCTGCTCCCATCTGTCTCTTCACAGCAAAGGTAGAAAATGGAGAAAGTGATAAGGTAAACAAGGGGCAGATCCATGCTTCAGCCAGAGCAAAGCTGGGCCACAACTCGGTGCTTTGCACTGCAGGTAAACGGAGCAAGAACAAAAGATGTACATGGATTATAGTTACACAGAGCAAGGAGGTGACCTGCCACTTACCAGACTCACATGCAGAGCACGGAACACATCCCAAACCTTAATCACAATACACTTACAACGATTGAAGGAAAGTAACAAAACAAAACCGATTGATTATAATACAAAACAAAAATGATCGATTACAATACATTTACAATGACTGAAGAAAGTTAAAAAACAAATCTGTTGAAAAGTTAATTCGGGATTACAGTGCAGATCTCTGATGCTTTCACAGCAATGAACATCATCTCATAAAATGGTAGGATGATTCTTGTAAATCAGCAGAATGCAGGTGCCCAACACCTTGTAGTCTGAGCTGTGATGTCACATGCTCTGCCTTACGCGCCATGTGACCAAAATCTCGCCATTTGACCAAAATCTCACTCACACCTTCTGACAGCTGGAAGTGGTCACTTAGCACAAACCCTCACAGAAGTCAAGATTTGGCAAATTCTGACTGTTACAATTCTTCAGTAAGTTGCTTATGGAGATTTTTCACTGTGTGCTATTGTCTGTTTTTAGTTTTTGTTTTATCAGGTTCTGAACTGACCAGTAATCACCGTACGTATTTATGAAGCATGGTATGATCTGTGTACACGCATACATTGTGTAGTGATCAAATCAGGGTAACCAGCAGCAGCATCACCTCGAAAAGTTGTCATTTCTTTGTGATGAGAAGATTCAAAATCTTCTCTTCTTTCAACTTTGAAACATATAATACATTATTGTTTACTTTGTGTTTTTTTAAATGAAAACACAAGTTACCTTGAGTGCTTCCAAGCAAATTTTAGAAAGTATAGTATACAGAGGGAAATTATTTCTGGGAAGCATAAAATAAATAAAAAATAACTAAGTGTGTGTGTGTCACAACACATTTGCAATGATTGAAGAACATGATGTGTATGTGTGTATTAATCTTTGTATATGAGGGATAAAGAGAACATACAGTGTATATAACCACACAATAAAAAGATCACAGTGAAATGCAAGAAGTATAATAAAGAAAACAAGTTAAGAACATCCTTGAAAGTGTGCAGGAAATTTCACAGGCTCCCGGGGTATTGTGAAGAATAAGAGATCAAGGATCATCCAATTTTGGGGTTCAGATTGAGATGACTTTAAATAACATCAAAGCTCACTCAGAATTAAATAGTCTTATTTGCAAAAAGGGAACGGAGTCCCCACGAAAGAGGTCAAGACTGTATTGAAGGTCACTTGAATGGTGGTGGGAAAAAGTTCATCCACATGAAAGGACCTGGAAGAGCTGATGATTTCTGGTCTCTACTTAAATTTAAAAGCAGGACTCAGACGCGGAAAGAATGAGTCCACCCTGGCACAGTGAGGACTTGTTAATGGTACAATGTGCGACAGTGGTGGCTGCCTTTGATGGTCTTAAGATACATACCACTTGCTGAGCTTGGGATGAAACACCTTTTGTGTTTTTATCATGTCCAATTTTAGTTCCTGAATCAAGTGTTTTTCACACCTATTTTCTTGAAGGATTTGAATACTACTTCATAGAGAACAACTAACAAGTATGTGGTTGGTGTTGACATTTTAAAATATCTACAAGTATCTCAAACTAGAACAACTTTATAATATACATGATGTTCAAAATATGTCCAGAGTAGCGATAGCATAAGCATTTATTATAGTCAAGAAAGCACAGTGTAGCTAATGCCTATGAAAAACAAGTGCCATGTTCACTGTCAGAAAATGTTTACAAATGGATATTCATTTAAATATGTCTAGTCCCACAGTAAAATTCGTTATGAAACTAATTCTTCCAATTCAACCACAAGCTTGTATGATTTTTGAGCAAAATCTTCTATTAGGAAATGTGTGGCATCAGAATTACCTTTTCCAGAATCATTCCTCTCATTTGTGAGTTTCTGGTTCACCTATCTAACTTATGCAGGTTTTCAAATTGTTTCTGATTAAAATATACTATCTGGATAGTGTAACTTTGATTTCACCTGTGTTCACATAAGAGAGATATCACTATTTGTCCCATAGCTTATAATTTTAGGTACCCCTCATCATATTTGTTTGAGATTTGTACTTTTTTTCCATATCATATATCAAGCTTCAAATCAATGTCATTTCAGTCCATACGATCAATTTATTTTTTTTAATTAGATGGAATCTCAGGGACCATTAGTTTAACTCCCTTTATTTACAGCTGAAAAAGTTGAAGTTGTTGTAGGTTATGCAATTTGCTCAATGGTTAGCTGGCATAAAAATTAGAAAAGAGATCTCTCTATAGATTGATTTAATCTCTCAATCATTCAGTAGATAAATGTGAATAACCTACCCAAATTATTTTGGATTCTCATTTTATTCTGTATGAAATTTACATTCGTACACCATCTTGCCTCATTTCTGGGCTTTCTAACTTTAAATTTTACTTCATTTTTCGTATTGCCTATCTTATCCTATTTTTAATACCATGCATCTGGCACTGACTTAGAGAAAAACATTCAGGACAACTATTCTAGGTGGACAAAAAAACATATGCTGTAACTCAGAGATTGTGACTGTATAGTGCAGGGATTTGTGAGGAAACTCTCCCACCCACACCCCCACCTCTTAGGCGCCTTTTCTATTTGCATTGTTACAACATTTCACAACCATCAGTTTGCTACTGTTATTCTTTACAAAGCAGCATGGCCTTATTAACATGTTTCTGTTTTGAAGTTTTGCCCAATCCATATGTTTCTATTTTGTCCTGATAGAAGAGAGTAGTTGTAGACACGTCCATAAACACAGCAGCGATGGCTTCACACACGGCCTATTCTATTCATTGAACATTTTGTTTTTCTATTTTATGATGAACACTTCCCTTATTTTGAAATGCTGCTTGGAAAATGATTCATATCCCAAGGCGATGACCACAGAGTATAAAGGCAAATTTGTTTCAAAATGCCATTTTTTTTTTTTTTTTTTTGATGATCTAAACTTCATGTTTCCAAATCAGCAACGTGGAAACATTAGGCCCATTGAGGTCCAGTTCACAAAAGTCAGTCTCCTCAAAGGCTGCACTGTGCTCGGGTTGTATGAATTAGATGCCTTCGGAATATTACCTTCTCCAAATTTATATGCCCTATCAATGTCATCCACATTCTGCATCTTTCTACTAAGTTTCTCAAATGAAAATAAAATGTATTCGCTTGCCTATCTATACAGTAATTATTAAAATTAATTTAAAAAATCATATTACTTAGAAGATCAAATGTCA